TAACATTAAAGAGTTCTTTTACTAAATTCTTTTAAGAGAAATTTAGGACTTTTAACGTACACTTTCGAATATGTAATTTTATTACTATCCCTTATAGCACTTCCATTTTTTTGAATACTTCTACCTATATTACATATTTAAGATTGTTATGTTCAATATGATATAAATTATGTCTGTTTTATTTGGTACTGCATCTAACAAAGTCATGTGCAGCTTCTAGCAAAGTTGCTCTTTTGAGGATGGTAGGAAAAAATAGACATAAGTTTTAATTTTTAGAAGATTGAGTCTTCTATTCTGATTTAAACATAGAATTAATAGATGAATACTATAGTTTACATTAAAATAATGAATAATCATGTGTAGAGAATTAAATTTAAGTTAAAAATTGATCTTTTGATTTATATAGCCAAACGTCTCAAGTCCAGTACCAGCTTTGCAAACATTCAAGAAAATTCAAACTGAAACCTACAAAGTGGAAAATTAACGTCACATCCCATGGTTGAATGGTGGAAGACACAGCTTGGTCCAAAAGAAGAGAGAGTTCTTAAGAAATGCAAGGACTTCAGATTTATTTTTAAATAAGAATTTTTAATTTTTCTTTCCTTTTTCATCCCCTTTTTAAGAGCTCGGGTATTTTTAGTTTATAGGCATAGCAGTGTTGTCTATTTTCAAGTATTTGTTACAATAACAAAAGATGCAAGAACAATGTTTTATTTTGATGGCATATTATTACTACTTGAGACTTCTGGTATCTCATTAACTTAGAATCTCAAGTAGCAAAGTTTTTGAAAACTAACATTTAAAAATTAATCACTTATAACAAAGTCTTTGAAAAAGAAATATACTTGCCAAAAAGTAGCAGGTCCAAAGATTAATTTAAATTACCATTGCAGTATTATTGTTACATATATATTTAATATGTCATATGGTACAAATAATATGTAATTCAGTCTCTAGTTTCCTTAAAGTCATTTTTGAAACCACTAATTATAAACCTCCCTAACAATTTTTAGAAGTGGGATGGCGCATTACATTTTTCTTTGTAAAAAGACTTATGGTAACCGGTTTCTTACTTGACTTTTATAAATAGTATTTTACACCTTATTTTGCCTTTATTTCATAAGTAATTTGAAATCACTGGACTGCTTTATTATATTCAGGGCAAGATGGATTCTTTTTATACCAGAGATTTGCATTGCAAATTACATTAAGTTATTTGGCAATTTATAATTTATTACTACTTTAAATCAGATGTAGCATTATCACATTATTTAAATTGAGATTTTTTAAATGGAGATTTTCTCTTGAGTTATATGGGGATTTTTGGAGGGGAGGGAAAAGAGTAAAAATAGCTTAAGGTTCAGAAAATAGACAGGGACCTGAGGGAATACTCACAATAAGACTGTTAAATGGTTCTTATTAGGGGCATGAGTCAGAATGAGAGCCTGATACAGAAAGCAATTAGGTTAAGATGAAACTTAGTTTTTCTAAATTAATTATATCAGATAAAAGGGATATGATTGATATGAAGTCAAATATTTCACTTTCAGAAAACATTCTATTTTGGAATATTTGTATTGCTCTTTAAAAACAGCTTCATTTCAGAATTGTTTATAGTTTTTTTCCCTCAGGATTTTAGTGGTTAGGTATTTCATTCCTTCTTGCTTTCTTGGTGGAAATAGGCTTTGTTTTAAATGTTGAGAATATGAAGGCTACTCTATATAGAAATAAGAGTTTGGTTGAATGGTACAAGAATTTGCATACCTTTGTATAATATGAAATGCTCTATAGAGAGACAAGAAAGTATTATTATTTTTTAAATGTTTACCATATACGCAGAGTGAAAGAGAACGCTTATCCTTGGATATAAACATATCCACAAGTGGTTAGTTTTCCTAGTTTGCTGTGATCTCTTAAAAATGTGCTGGGATTTCTTCTGTTAATACTGTTCCTGCTGCTGATACTAATAGCACTATCTTAATTTGAAGCATATAGTTGAGGGCCATTGAAAGCAATCTTTAATTAATGCAGATAAAACCAGTTTACATGTGCAAAGGTACAGAATGGCATATTTGATTCTGTAAGTAGTGACTCTGAGCACTTTTGAATATTATGTATTTCTAAAAACCATTGCTTTTGGATATGTTTGCTAATAAGCACTTTAAAAAAGAAGAGGCAGCAGCCTTTACTATTTTTCTGGCTGAGTCATTGTTCTTTAGAAGAAGCATCAGCAATAGGTTTCAAAAATAAGTATTGAGCACTACATTAAAGTGTGTAAATATTTCATTTTTTAGTCATACTGAAAAATTATTTGCATAGTTCTGAATTTGACACATAGCATATGTGTGTGTACAAGAACATCTTTATTTTATTTTATTTTTCTGACACTTTGTAATAAAAGAAGTAGCTTAAGGTAATTACAATGCCATATTTGATTTTTAAATACATTTTTTAAACTTTGGATGTAATTAAATATCACATTTCAGTTTTTCAGGTGTTGAGTTGAAATGCCTACTTTAAAAGTACCAACCATCTTATAAGTTTGCTGCAAATAAAAATGTACTTTTGGATTTTTTTGTTGTTGTTGGATTTGATAGTTAGGAATAGCATCAGCTATCCTAAAGTGTAACTCTAAATTCACTCTGGTGAATAACACCAGAGTTTAGTTGGTAATGTTACTTCTAATGGGACCAGTATTTTTGAATGTCTGGATGGCCTCTGCTTTTTATTGCAATGTGCTCCTTATAAAGTGAAATGTGTTCTCAGAACAGGATTGTAGTTGGGTTACATTTCTGACCAAAGACTTAACATCAGGTAACTAATAGACATCACCAGCAATGAATTGTAAAAGCAAAAATATACTAGTAACCTATGTAACAATTTAAAATGGAAAAAATTATTTTCCAAGTACATGTATTTTCTGAGCTAGAAGAAACCTTAGAGGTCATCTGGTCATGAAATCTAGAGCTGAATAGGTCCCTACCTTTTCTCTACTGCATGGATTCCCTCTAAAAAGTGTATAACTTATTTTCTATCTTCTTAACTAAGGAAGCAGAACACCATAAAGCTCCATATTTATGACTGAGCCATTGTTTGATAGACAACTCAAAAATTGAGACTTGGGATGCCTAATCAAATATTTTCCCACTGTTCTTCTCTGCTTATCTTGTAATAATTCCATAAATGATCTTATTGATTATAAAAAGGACATTGGCCTATGCTAAATTAAACATGTAGCACACAAAAGTTACAACTACACCAAGTTTGGTTCTAAACTAATACACTGGGTAAAATAAACATTAGTCATTCATATAGCAAACACATTTAATGACCAGTAATTTTTTTTTTTTTGTCTCTTTGGAAGTTAAAAGGGCTTTTAATAGGTAATATGACTGATTCATGCTTCTTAAAGTGTGGAGGTTCTCAATAATGATTTTAAAACCTGTTTTTCCTATGATAAACAGATACTTTAAAAAATACATCCTAGTACCCAAATACAATCAAAATGTTTCAGAAAGGGAGTCAAGATGGTATAGAAGGTAGATGCTGTGCACACCTCCTCTCACAACCACACCAAAATTTTAACGAAATTACAGAGCAACCATCACTGGGAGTCACCTGAGGTCTGGCTGAACAGAAGTCCTACAATGAGGGATGAACATAAGAGGTAACCTTGAAACTGGTAGCAGGGGCAGAGATGTGAAACGGCCAGTATGCCAACCGTATCTGGCAATAGAGAATCGGGAGGGTTATCTTGGCTGCATAGCCCCTCCCCGACCTGAGGAGCGAGGGGACCCGGCCCCACAATGAGCTCCCCAGCCCAAGGTTCCAGTGCTGGAAAGAGAAGTCCCCACCATCTGGTCATGAAAACCAGTAGAGATTGTGGCCGAGTGAGATGTTGAGTTGTGGGAGTTGCAGGCATTCCTTTTAAAGGGCCGCGCCTGGGCTTACTTGCTGATGGACTCTCTCACTAAACTCCAGCGCTGGGGCAGCTGCTTAAGGCGTACCAGGGTCATATGGGGAGACACCGAGTTGTTGGGCTTCAGGACGAGGGCTGGATGGATGGCTTTCTCCTTGACAGAAGTGCTGTCAGTGTCCATTGTTCCTTTGTTGAGCCCTCCCCACTCCCAGCATGCGGGCATAGGCCTCACCATACCTGAGTATCAACCTGGATAATACAAAGTGGTCCTGCCCAAGTGATTCCCTGAGACTCTGCCTATCCCAACTTGTGAACCCACCCAAGCCACTTCCAGTGGTTTATTCCATACAGATGGCTCTCTTGGCTCTTGCTGCAGACTTTCCTAAAATCTTTCAAAGGCTCACAAAATCCAAGGAAGCAGCATCTCGTCTTGGCATGCCCCATGCCTCTTGCTGAGCAGCCCCAAGCCCCACACTAGGTGCAGCTGGCCTTGGTTCCTGGCTTGGCCTCTCAAGGTACCTATAAGTCCAGCATAGGTGGCAGCCATCTGCGGATTGCTTACTCTTACCAGATGGCCCTAGAAGAGCACAGGCTGTGGCTGAACTTGGCCTGCAGCCAGACCCCTCCTAGGAGGCCCTTGGGCCGGCACACCCAGTAGCCCACTTGGACTAGTACTGGAGCCAAGGCACCACTCAGGGCTGCATCTGAGGAGGACACACCCGAAGGGCAGGCTGGCAGGCACCAGAACCCTGCTACAGTGAATCCTGCTCCATAGGGTCAGCCCCTCACTGGCCAGTCCTCTCAACCAATCAGCCCAAGGGTCAGTCCCTCCCACTGGTATGCAAACAGCAACCAAGGCTCAACTATAACAGGAGGGCACACACAACTCACATAAGGGACACACCTTGAGCATCTCGCTCAGGTGACCGTGGAAGACTGTGACACTGGGCCCCACAGGACATCTACTACATAGGGCAACTCTACTAAGACTAGGAGACTTAGGAGCCCTACCTAATACATAGAAACAGACACAGGGAGGCAGCCAAAATGGGAAGACAAACATGTCCCCCAAGAAAGATCAGAACAAAGCTCCAGGAAAAGAACTCAGTAAAATAGAGACAAGCAATCTACTAGATGCAGAGTTCAAAACACTGGTTATAAGGATGCTCAGTGAACTTGGGAAGAGTAGACAACATACAACTCCAGAAAGTTTAGAGTCTCAAAAAAGAGGCACTCAAAGAAACCCACTACCAAGAGACATCATAATTAAAATGCCAGAGGTTAAATACAAAGAGAAAATCTTAAAAGCAACAAGAGAAAAGCAGTTAGCTACCTACAAGGGAGCAAGCATGAGACTGGCAGTCTGATTTCTCAAAAGAAACTATGTAGGACAGAAGAGTCTTGGCACAAAATATTCAAAGTGATGAACACCAAGATCCTACAACCAAGATTACTCAACAAGGCTATCATTTAGAGTCGAAGGACAGATCAAGAACTTCTCAGACAAGAAGAAGCTAAAGGAGTGCATCACCACCAAGCCAGTATTACAGGAAATGTTGGAGGGATTTCTTTAAGAAGAAGGAAAACACAAGTATTAAAAATATTGATAAAGAATGGCAATAACTACATATCTATCAACAAATACTTCGAATAAAAAAGAATTGAATGCTCCAATCAAAAGTTAGGGTGACTGGATAAAAAACAAGACCCTTACCTAGGCTGCCTACAAGAGACTTGCTTCAGATTAAAAGACACACACATATAGAAAGCAAAGGGATGGAAAAGGATATTTCATGATGGACCTAGAGGGTATTGTGCTGAGTAGAGTAAGTCACATAAAGACAAATTCCATATGATTTCATGTACATGTGAAATCTAAAGAACAAAATAATAATAATTTAAAAAAAATTCATAGATACACAACATTTTAAGGTTACCAGATTGGAGGAGGTGGGGGGACTTGTCGAAAAAGGGGAAGGGATTAAGAAGTACAAATTGGTAGTTACAAAATAGTCATGGAGATATAAAGTATAGCTTAAGGAATACAGTCAATATTGTAATAATTATGTACAGTGTTGGAGGGGACCTAGATTTATTGGGGTGATTACTTTGTGAGTTAAATAAGTATCTAATCACTATATTGTGCACCTAAAACTAATATAATATTGAATGCCAACAATAATTGAAAAATAAAAAATATTATAAAAAATATTTCAAACCTTTAAAAGGAATAGTAAGCCCATTTTAGCTAGATATTGTAGTAATTCTTCCATTGCCCTAACTTAAATATCAGGATTATATTCAAAAGATTTACCCAACAGCATTGGAACTGAAAAACAATTCAACAATTGTAATTTCCGGAATGATTGTAGACAACTACAGAGTAGATAGGCAGGATTGAAAATTACTGTCTTACCCTGTTTTCACTTCTGAAACAGAAGAGTAATCAGAATAAGTTAGGAGAAGTTTTCTGGGCACTGTAATTATGTACATTTAGAGGTAGAGGCCCACAATAAAAGGCCTTTCAGTCATTCCCGTTTCCAGAGGGGACCAGTTATTTCTCCCCTTTTTTCTCTCATTAATACCTCATTTTCTACATTCATTTGTAGTGCTATTGTCACTAATATAATAGGAGCTGAGATACAAAGGGCTTGACCTTGGATTTTTAAAATCCTCTTTATGTCCTGGCTGTTCTCCACTAAATAAAGCACAGTGTTTAATGTACAACCCAGGGACTCTGATCAATTAAAATTCAACACCGCCCCCACCACACACACTTATACAGATGTTCTTTCCCACTGCTTTTCTCCTATGAATTTGGAGAATTAATTACTCTGGTGTGGGCAAACAGCACAAGGATGTAAAGAGTGTGGATGAACAAGGAGAATCTCCAGATTGAATCTCCTCTCCTCTCACCCCTCTTCCCAGTGATTCCCAAATGTTTTTATAGAAGGGATCTAGGAATGGCACTCTACATGGAAAAGGGGAGTTGGGGATCATTTGTCTTGAAACTATATGTGCATGCCAAATTCACTGTGTATTACTAGGTTGTATATTTACTAGGGGAGGCTTTTGGGAAATGATGGTTATTATGAAAGGGTTAAAGCTCTGCTAAATAACACTGCTTGGCATATTTTTCCACCATCTACTCAGGACTTGCTCCAAACCAACCAACATCTCAGATAGGAGCAGCATGAAATGGCTGTTAGCTACTCTGGCTCCTCCTTCTAGGTTTCTGTCCTCTACATCAGGAGATTCTTTGTTCAGTTTCTTCCTTGTGTCTCCTAATGCTACAATAGATGGAGTCATAGGAACTATCCTTCTTAATTTGGTTATTATCACTGAATCTGCATCACTCAGTCTACATCTTTGAGACACCAGGGATAGGTGCTTGGATGGGTACTGCAATTTTGCTGAAAATGATTTAGCAAATGCAGTCTCTGACCTGGTCAGGCTCTGGAAAACAGTTTTTGGGGATTGGAGTTCTTGCTTATTGATGACCTGATTTCAAGAGGCATATCCACATCAGTTTGGCTTTCAAGTCCACCCCAGTTCTTTGCATCTAAGCCTTACCATTTACTCTTGTTCCCATTTTTTTTTCTTAGACCTGATTGGCTTCACCAATACCAAAAATTCAAGTGACCTGATGGT